GTGAGAAGGTTCGCGATCACGTAGGGTAGAAGAGTCAGTGCTTAGCGATCGCGTGGGACTTTCTGCGATCGCGTAGAGTTAATTTTGGCAGTGCTTAAATTGTGCTTCACGATCGTGTGAGGAAGTTCACGATCACGTAGAAGAAATCATTGGGCAGAGAGTTCCCATTTTCCATTTTTACCGATTTGGAGCTCGGATTGAGGCGATTTTTGAGAGATTTTCAGAGAAAATAATGGGGTAAGTGTTATTAACTCTATATTGGTTAAATTACCCGAATCCATGGTTGTTTTTAATATTTAATCGGTGAATTAAGTTGGAAAAATTGTGAAAACCCTCTTGGTTTAAATTTAAGATTTGGAGGTCGATTTGTTATTGGAATTTGATAAAATTGGTATGGTTGAACTCGTATCGGAATGGGTGTTCGGATTTCATAAAAATTATGTCAGGTTCCGAGAGGCGAGCCCCGCGTTGACTTTTGTTGACTTTTTAGAATAAATTTTTAAGTCGACGTTTTATTATCCGGAATAATTTCTGATGAATTTTAATGAAGTTATACAATTGAATTGGATAGATTTTAGCTGTCCGGAGGTCAATTCAAGCGAGAAGGCGATTTTGGAATATCGGCATAACTTAAATAAGGTAAGTATCTTGCATAACTTTGAGTGGGGGAATTACCCTTTAGGCATCGAGTCTTATGTGCCATTTGTGAAATGTGAAAAGCCGTGTACGCAAGGTGACGAGTACGTACTCGGGCTTATATGTGCAAAATATATTGGGTTTAAGTCTTAGGCATATTATGTAGTAAATTGGATAATTGTTGGCATTTATTTAATCATCTATTTGCTATGCCTAAATCCTTGTTGGTTGAACTTGTTTTTATATGATAATTTAATGTGATTGTTATTTGAATATTTATGTAATTCCGTGAGTTTGTATGTTTGATATTTCCTGGGATTTAATCTTATTATGAATTTTCCCTCTGCAAATAATTAATTAAGCAAGGTTAAGAAGATGTGTTAATATAATTATCTAAATTTAGATTATTGAAGGCTTTGTTTTATGTTGAATAATTTCTATCTCGGTTGATTATTTTTGTGGTGATATACACAATGTGTGGAGCCTTCGGTTATTTGTTGTGAAATTAATTGATTTGGTTGTATCTTTGAAACTTTGTTGTGGCCATTGGGCAAATTGGGATATGAATTAATTTTGTTATGTTGCCGTGATAATTTTCCGTGTAAATTATTGTGTTGTGTGAGTTATTATTTTGGGGAGATAAGGGTGGCATTTTACCGTTGATATTATGTGGGTATAAGGGTGGCATTTTACTGTTATTGTGTTTGTTGGAATATTATCTGGGCTGAGCGATAAGGGTGGCAATAGGAGCGATAAGGGTGGCAATAGGAGCGATAAGGGTGACTATTGATATTATCTGGGCGGAGCGATAAGGGTGGCTATAGGAGCGATAAGGGTGGCTATTGTCAGGGACGATATGTGATGATGTGGAGTTATGGTGTTGGTGATTTTTATGTGATATTGTGATTTTTTGTGTTTATTTTATACCTTGTGTAATTTATCTTGTTGTTGATAAATTGATAACAATCTGATTTATGTTGAAATTGAAAACTTGTGGCTATTGCCAGGCAGATTATAAAATAAAATGTGGGCGCGAGGTGCAGTGAGTAAATAATAAAGATATTGGCACGTGAATTGTCCGTGCAGTTGTGATATGAAATGTGGGCACGAGGTGCTGTGATTAAATGATAATAATATTGGCACGTGAACTGTCCGTGCAGTTGTGATATGAAAAGTGGGCACGAGGTACCGAAAAAATATGATGATTTAATTATGGGCACGAAGTGCCGTAGAAATATGAAAATGGACTGAGACCCGTGTTTACGAAAAATATGAAAATGGGCTGAGACCCGTATTTTTATGATTATGAAATGAGGTGTCACATGGTGACTTTTTAATTGAAAGAATTATATTCAACATATTTATTTGGATGGATTTTTATTCAAAATGAATTATATGAAAGGATTGTATTTCAAAGATATTTATTTGAGGAAACTATGTTTGAAAAAAAGTTTTATTCGTAAGAATTATATGCGAAATATGTTTAATTGAAGAACTTGATTTAACTGGGAGTAATCGTATTTATCAATTGTTGAGCGATATTAATGGTGATTTTATTGTCTTACTATGCATATCACTGGTTGTTTTATGTTGCCCTTATTGTTATTTATTTCTTATTAGTTTGTATATTATATTGCACATATTATTAGACTAGTGAGTGTCTTGACTGTACCTCATCTCTACTCCACTGAGGTTAGTCTTGATACTTACTGGGTACCGACCGTGGTGTACTCATACTACACTTCTGCACATTTTTGTGCAGAGTCAGGTATTGGAGATATCGGACTTGAGCAGAGTTAAAGCGGAATCATAAGGATTCAAGGTAGAGCTGCTTGGTCGTCGCAATCCCTTGGAGTCTTTTCATTTCATTGAACTGTTAATTTTTAATCAAACAGTATTGTATATTCGGTCCTCATGATCATTCCATGTATTCAGTTAGAGTTCGTGATTCAGTACTACTAGTCTTGTGAGGTTGTATATTCATATTTGTTCTGCTATCAGTTTTGATTATTTATTTAATTGAAAAAAAATGGCTTCAAAAATATAATTAAAATCGGCTAACCTAGTCTTAGAGACTAGTTGCCATCACGACGCGTGAGGTACAATTTTGAGTCGTGACAGCAGTACTCTGAGACTGCAGAAAGCATTTGGAACCAGCTAAATAACAAATGTGTGATAGTAAATAGGACTAAAATCTTTGAGATTAAGAAATAATTGGCTTCTGTTTGTCAAGGTTCTCTTGACATAGCCTCATATTTCAAAAAGATAAAGAAACTCTGGGATGAGCTGGGAATAATGTCTTCCAATCATGCAAAGACATGTACTTGTGCTGCAAAGACTGGTCTGCAGGTAGAAGAGGAAGAAAATAGGGTCCACCAGTTTCTTATGGGGTTAAACGAAACATATGTCAATGTTAGGAGCAATATTTTACTCATGAATCCACAACCTTCTCTCGATAATGTTTACAAGATGAACAAAAAAGACAAGTCACTCCTACTACTCAGTTCAGTCCTGATATGGCCTCATTCAATGCAAACACTACCAACAAATTTCATCATCATCCTAATTTCCAGAGGCAATACACCCAGAAGGATAACTTTGACCAGTTCAATCAGAGAATGTCTTTCGAACAGAATAAAGGGTCTCTTTTTTGTAAATACTGTAAGAAAAATGGTCATACTATTGACAAATGCTATAAGCTGCATGGATTCCCACAGAACTTTAAATTTACAAAGGGTCGAAAGTTTGGTGCTGCTGCTAATATTGAGTCTCCTCTTTCTGGACATTTTTCTAGGCATCTTGATAATGCTTCATCATCTGGTTCTGGTGGGCAAAATTCTCCTATACCTGGGCTGACTAAGGCCTACAATGCACTCAATTGATGATGCTTTTACAGAGTTCTGGATTAGAATCCAATTCTTCACCCAACCTTGAGGCCTCTGCTAACTTTGCTGGTAGTGTATCCAATCTACCTGTTTCTTCTTGTGAGAGTTTTACTGCATGCATGTTGTCTAGACTTGCTAGGAGTGTTTGGATAGTAGATTCAAGAGAAACTAACCACATGACATCTAGCAAAGATCTTCTTTTTGATATTAAGCCGCTTCCCATACCCTACTTAGTCTCCCTACCAAATGGATATAAGGTGAAGGTCACATGCACTGGATCACTCACTTTGTCTCCTTCTTTCACACTGCATGGTGTCCTTTTCATTCCCACTTTTCAGTACAACCTGATTTCTGTATACAAATTGATTCAACAATTTAGCACCTTTGTCTTGTTCACATCCTATTCTTGCTTTATACAGGACCCTTCCAGGAAGAAGCTTCTGGAACTTGGTAGAGTGTACCATGGACTGTACAAGCTTCTTCCACTTACTAATCCTGATTCTTCTGGTTCCAGAATCAACAATGTTTTGCCAAAATTAAGCTGCATTTCTGTTTCAGATTTAAATAAGTTTGTGCAAACCACAGTTCCACATTTTATCTTCCCCTTGAATAACGATGCACAAGTTGTAAATAACAATGTTTCTTCTACTATTAACAATGGTTCTTATACTATTAGCAATGCTACTTCTACTGTCTCTTCCATGAATTCTGTAAATGCTGTGAATAATCTTGATGTACTTTGGCACCATAGGTTGGGCCATATTCCCTTTGCAAAAATGAAAATTATACCTGGTATTTCTTCTTAGCTATCTTCTAAGCAATCCTTTATTTGTCCTATTTGTCCCCTAACTAGGCAAACTAGATTACCTTTTTCCTGATAGTACTTCTCACTCAACTTTTTTATTTCAACTTGTCCATGTTGATACTTGGGGTCCCTATCACACACAAACCTATACTGGTGCCAAATACTTCTTAACAATTGTGAATGATTATAGTATAGCAACTTGGACTCATCTAATGCATGCTAAGAGTAATGCTTTTCCTTTACTTAAGGCATTTATTACAATGATCAAAACACAATTTAGTCTTCCTGTACAAACTATAAGAAGTGATAATGCCCTAGAGCTTGGTTCTTCCTCATTGGCTTGTGAATTTTTCTCTGCCAATGGTATCTTACACCATACCACTTGCCCTCACACACCTCAACAAAATGGTATAGTTGAGAGGAAGCACAAACATCTTCTTAAAACTTCTAGAGCTCTTCTATTCCAATTTAAACTTCCTACTAAATTTTGGGGGGACTGCCTTTTGACTGCTACTTATCTTATAAATAGATTCCCATCACTTGTTATATCAAACAAGACTCCATTTGAAATCTTATATGGTACATGTCCTTCTTACAAACATTTAAAACCATTTGGTTATCTTTGCTATGCCACAGTCCCTAAATGCCATAGGGATAAGCTCTAGGCACGAGCTATGCCATGTGTTTTCATTGGATATCCTTTTGGGAAAAAGGGTTATAAACTATATAGTTTACATACCAAGTCTGTGTTGGTTTCCAAAGATGTTATTTTCCATGAGTGTGTCTTCCCCTTTCACCTTTCTTCTTCTCCTTATTCTCTTTCATCTCCCATTTCCACTGCTCCTCCTCTTTTTCATTCTCTATCTGATCCTGTTGCTCCTAATTGCTCAACTCCTTCTTCAGCAGGTTCTCCTTCCACTTCTTCTTTTCCTTCCACTTCTACTTCTCAGTCATCTCATACTCCACCATCTGTTTCTTTTCCCTCACCTTTTCCTTCATCTCCTGCCCTTGTTGCTTCTCCTCATCCTCCTCTCAGAAAGTCCACTAGACCTCACAACCTTCCATCTTACCTTCAGGACTTTGTGGTTAAACTTCCCTCTTCTTTCTGCTCCTCTACTACCTCCACTTCTATTGTTTCAACTGTTGCAGTTGAACCTCACTCCTATATTCAGGCAGCTGCCAGCCCAGCTTGGCAAGAGGCCATGAGGAAGGAGTTTTAGGCTTTGGAGGCTAATCACACCTGGGACATTGTTGAGTTACCTAAGGGAAAAAAACCAATTGGGTGCAAGTGGATTTACAAAATCAAATACAAGGCTGGTGGGTCTGTGGAAAGGTACAAGGCAAGGTTAGTGGTAAGGAGTGACACTCAGGTGGAAGGTATTGATTTCCATGAAACCTTCTCACATGTGGTAAAGATGTGTACTGTTAGATGTTTAATTGCATTTGTTGTCAAGCGTAATTGGTCTTTATTTCAATTAGATGTTAACAATGCATTTTTGCATTGGGACTTGGATGAAGAGGTCTTCATGAAACTTCCACCAGGTCTTTCTGTCTCTTCACCTTCTTCTGTTTCCTCACTTTCTTCTGATTCTTCTCCCAATTTGGTCTGCCAACTTAAGAAGTCTTTATATGGTTTGAGACAGGCTTCGCGGCAGGGGTATGCCAAGCTGTCTCAGGCCCTTTGCTCTAGAGGTTACACACATTCACTAAATGACTATTCTTTCTTCATTAGAAAAACTACACTTTCTACTGTTTTTCTTGCTGTCTATGTGGATGATATCATTCTCACTAGGGATGATTTGGATGAAATAACTGCCTTGAAAAGTTTTTTGGATGCTGAATTCAAAATTAAGGACTTGGGCCTCTTGAATTATTTCCTTGGTATTGAGGTTTTTTATCATCCTTCAAGGGTTGTGTTACATTAAAGAAAGTTCATTTTTGACTTGTTAAGTGAGTTTAATTGTTATGATGTTTCTCCAATTCTTTGCCCTCTTGATTTGTCTACTAAATTGAAGTCTGATGTTGGGGATCTTCTCCCTAGGCCTGATTCTTACAGAAGTCTTATTGGAAAACTTAACTTCCTTACCCATACTAGGCTGGACTTGTGTTTTGTTGTCCAACACCTTAGTCGGTTTCTTAAAACCCTTAGAGTTCCTCATATGGCTGCTGCGTTGCATGTCTTACGGTATCTGAAAGGGACTGCACATTTTGGGGTGTTTCTCAATAATACTCATGATCTCTCTTTGATTGGCTATTGTGATAGCGATTGGGCAACCTGCCCTGACTCTCGGCGTTCAGTCACTGGCTTTTGTATTACTCTGGGTGGTAGCTTTGTGAGCTGGAAATCTAAAAAACAGCAAGTAGTTTCATTGTCCTCGACTGAGGAAGAGTATAGAGCCATGAGCAAAGTTGTGGTAGAATTATCTTGGTTGACCAGGTTATTTTCTGATTTGGGTTTGCAACTGCATGAGCCTATTCCAGTCTTTTGCGACAGCCAGGCAGCTATTCATATAGCTCGCAATCCTGTCTTTCACAAACGTACAAAACATATTGATGTTGATTGCCATTTTATTCGCACCAAGTTGGCTGATGGGCTCATTTTCTTAAGTCATGTATCCACGACCTCCCAACTTGCTGATGTGTTTACTAAGTGTCTTCCAGGTGCTCAACATCACTCTTTGATCGGCAAGTTGGGTGTGTGCCCACCCTCCAACTTGAGGGGGGTATTGGAGCTATTGGAGTTGGGGTTACCTGAAGTTGGGCTAGCTGTGTATTTATTTTTAACTGGAACAGGCCCACTATTCTTTTGATTCTTTGATATGCTAGCTAACAGCCACAGTGGCCAATGGATATATAGACATAATGAATATTGTACAGATCTAGAACATTGATTCTGTCACGACCCTAAACTCAAACCTGTCGTGATGACGCCTATCGATAGTACTAGGCCAGCCGACTCCCACAATACTACAACAACTCATTCACAGATATGCCAAAAAGGCGTCTTGTATAGCAGAATTTCATAAAACAAAAACAAGGGTTGAACTCAAAAATAGAAATGCGGAATGAAAAGCCCCAAACATTGGGGTGTCACTGAGTCATGAGTAACTACTAAAAATCGGTCCGACAACAATAAGACTAACATAATCTAGACAAAATCCAAAATACAATTAAGGGGAGATAAAGAAGGAGAAAACAGGGCTGCGATCGCCAGACAACTACCTTGCTAACTCCAATAATCAGCTACAGGAATATCAGCAGCCGCTACCGTGACCAAAAATGCCTGGATCTGCACACAAGGTGCAGGAAGTAATGTGAGTACATCAACTCAGTAAGTAACAGAAATAATTAAAGGCTGAGAAGTAGTGATGAGCTAAATGCAAGTACCGTTCATATCACAAAAATTTAGTAAAGTGCGGCATGCTTTGTAACCAGAGTTTAAGTCAAATCAGCTTGTTTAAATCAAGTTCAAGTAAATCAATTAGAAATATCTTTCAACAGCTCTCAATAGGGAATCAAAGCAACTATGAGCATGGTTGATGAAATCATACACTGCCCCTCAGGCTAATATCACTCAGTCCTCCCAATCACTCCAACCTCACAATCCCTCATGCCTCACCATCACTCATGCCTCACAATCGCTCAGCACTCGGCACTCGCACTGAGTAGGTACCTGCGCTCACTGGGGGTGTTCAGACTCCGGAGGGGCTCTTACAGCCCAAGCGCTATAATCTGCATGGATAACTCACGTACGGCACGGACAACTCACGTGCTATAATATCATATCAGAATCCGTACGGACAACTCACGTTTGAGGTACAATACCTCACAAACAGGCCCTCGGCCTCACTCAGTCATAAATCTCTCCAGTCTCTCGGGCTCTCAGAAATCAAAGAAATCAGCCCAAACAACATTAACATGATGCAATAAATAGAATAATAGAGACTGAGCTATGATGTAAGAATGCATGAACATGACTGAGTACGGGATATCAACTAAAGCAGTGAGCGGACAACAAGAAATGACCTCTAAGGGTCCAAACAATACTGGCATAAAGCCTAGACATGGTATCTAGCATGATTTACAGTAAGTCTTCTAAAGAACATAAAGAGCATATCGCTACAATAGGTTGTTCAACTTTACAGTTGCTACGGGACGGACCAAGTCACAATTCCCCAATGGTGTACGCCCACACGCCCGTCACCTAGCATGTGCGTCACCTCTAAATAGTCACGTGACATAAAAATTTGGGGTTTCATACCCTCAGGACTAGATTTACAACCGTTACTTACCTCAATCCGAGCAAATCTCTACTCCAAAATGCCCTTGCCTCTCGAATCGTCCTCCGAGCGTCCCGAATCTAGCCACAAGCAGTACAATACCATTAATATATGCTAAAGAAATCAATTCCAAGCCCTAACCTCTTATTTCACTTCAAAAATCCTACTAATTAGGTGAGAAATCAACAGGAAAACACCATAGCTAATGATAATAGAGCTCAAGCAACTTACCTCAGTGAATATCCTTGAATCCCCTTCAAACATTCCCTCAAAAGCTCCAAAGTCCGAGTTAAAAATGGTGGAAATGAGCAAAAATCACGAAGTCCTCAATTTATACATTCTGCCCAGCGAAGCCGCACCTGCGGTCCCTTTTTCCGCTTCTGCGACGCCGCACCTGCGGAATTTCCATTGCAGGTGCGGAACTCACTTAAGAGCCCAGGTTCCGCATCTACGGACAAAATCTCGCACCTGCGGAAGCTCACCTGCGCATCTCCTTCCGCTTCTGCGAAGTCAGCCAAAATCCTCCTTTCCGCATATGCGCCCCAGGTCTCGCACCTACGAGCTCGCAGATGCGACAACCTTCACGCACCTGCGGTTGCATCCCACCTTAGCCTTGCCCGCACCTGTGACTTCTCCAAGCGCTTCTGCGCCCTCGCACCTGCGTCTCCCCCTCTACAGGTGCGAAAATACCAGTAGCAGTAGCTTCAGCTGCATTTTTCCAACTTCAAACACATCCGTTAACCACTCGAAATCATCCCGAGCCCCTCGGGACCTCAACTAACCATACTAACAAGTCATATATCAACATATAAACTTAGTCGAGCCTTCGAATCACTTAAAACAACATCAAAACACCAAATTACCTTCGGATTCAATTCTAAGAACTTCTAAACTTCCGAATTACACAAACGACGCCGAAACCTACCAAATCATGTCCGAATGACCTTAAACTTTACACACACGTCACAAATGACACCACGAACCTAATCCAACTTCCGAAAATTGATTTCGACCCCGATATCAAATTTTTCACTGCTGACCGAATTCGCCAAATTTACAACTTTCGCTAATTCAAGCCTAATTCCACTACAGACCTCCAAATCACATTCCGGACGCGCTCCTAAGTCCAAAATCACCTAACGAAGCTAATGGAACCATCAGAATTTAATTCCGAGATCGTTTACATATAAGTCAACATCAGGTTGACTTTTCTAACTTGATGTTCTAAATAAGAGACTAAGTGTCTCAATCCACTCCGAAACTACTCCGGGTCCGAACCAACTAACCCGATATATAATAATATATCTGAAAAGAACAAAAGAAAGTAGAAATGAAAAAAACGAGGCTATAACTCTCAAAATGACCGGCCGGGTCGTTACAGATTCTAATAGAAAGAAAATGAGCCTTCTCTGCGGAAGCTCTCTCTTAGCTCGTATGTAACCCTAGTCACATTTTGTCAATTCTTTGTGATTTTTCAATGTTATCATCATGTTTTCAAGAATGATTCTTTTTCTTTCTATTAAATCATTACAAACTCCATAGTAATTAGTTCATCCGTAACTGGGTTTCTTTTTTCGTTTCTTAGGATTATTAATTTTTATATTGTCTTCCAAGTATAACGTTTTTTCTAGGGCTATAACTTCTTTATCTCTTTTTTTTTTTTAATAAGCTACAAAGTCCTAATTAAACAATTATTTTTAAATATAATTAAATGATTATTCCTAAATATTAGAAACTTAATTAAATGATTATTCCTAAATAATAGAAAAATAATAAAATGACTATTTTGTATAGTGTGAAGTATTGTTTTAGAGGGATAAAAAGGTGAATGACATTTCGCTAAAAGTTTTTGTGCTTTTAATATAGTACTAGTCTTACGTTACGTGTGTTGCACGTGTGTGTAGTGTCAATCATTATA